GAGAGGTTATATTAATATCATATAAAGTAGATTTCAGGGCCGAGCCTGTGGCACACTCAGGAGAGCGCGGCGCTGGGAGCACAGCAGCGCTCCTGCCGCGGGTTCGGACCCCATGTGGAGACTGGTTCCCGCTCACTGGCTGAGCGTGGTGCGGACGCAACACCGAGGGTTGCAATCCTGTTGCCGGTCCCTGGTACGGGCGCGACACCGAGGGTTGCGATCCCGTTACCGGTCAGTAAAAAAGACAAAAAGGAAAAAAAAAAAAGTAGATTTCAGAGCAAAGAAAATTACTAGAGAGACAGAGGGAAATTACATGATGTGAAAAGTATCAATCTACTAAGAAGACCGAAATTTTGAATGTGTATATACTAAACAACAGAGCTGCAAAATATGAGTAGCAAAAAACTGAGAGAACCAAAAGGAGAAAGACACATCCAGAATTACAGTTGAAGACCTCAACACCTCATTCTAAATAATTAATAGAACAACTAGACAGAAAATTAGCAAAGCAAAAAACTGAGAGAACCAAAAGGAGAAAGACACATCCAGAATTATAGTTGAAGACCTCAACACCTCATTCTAAATAATTAATAGAACAACTAGACAGAAAATTAGCAAGAATATAAAATAACTCAACACCACCAACCAGCAGTATCCAATCAAAATTTATAGAACACACCACCCAACAATAGCAGAATACATGTTCAGGTGTACACAGAACATATACCAAGACAGACCATATCCTGGACCATAAAACCACCTCAAAATTTTAGAAGAATTAAATCATACAAAATGTGTTTTCTGACCTCAATAGAATAAAACTAGAAATCAGTAATAGAAAGATAATAGGAAAAAATATTTGGAAACTAAACAACATATTTCTAAATAACCTATGGATTAATGAGGAAGTTTCAAAGGAAATAAAAAATACATTTAAATGAATAAAAATTACAACATATCAAAATTTGTAGGACACACCAAAACAGTGGTGAGAGAAAAATTTATAACAATAAATGCATACAGTAGAAAAGAGAAAAAGTTTCCAATTGATAATCTAAGCTCCCACATCAAGAAATTATAAAAAGAGCAAAATAAACCCAAATCAAGCAGAAGAAAGGAAAAAATAAAGATAAGAATGGAAATTAATAAAAGTGAAAACAGAAAAACAATAGAGAAAAATCAATGAAACAAAGTTCTTGTTTGCTAAGAAGATCAATTAAATTGGCAAACCTCTAGTAAGACTGGCAAAGAAAAGAGAGAAGGCACGAATTACCAAAAAAGAATCAAATAAGGAATACTGCTACAGATCCTGCAGACATGAAAAGTATAAGAGAATACTATAAACAAAAATACACAGATAAATTTGACAACTTAGGTGAAATGTTCCAATTCTTCAAAAAACAAATATTACCACAAATCATCTAATAAGAAATAGATAATTTGAATATCCTTATAATTGTTAAGAATATTGAATACATAATTCTGGAAGTCTCAAAAAAAATCTTTAGGCCCAAATGTTCTCACTGGACAGCTAAAGTTGCAAGTACCATACAACTCAATTGTACTCCTGGAATTTATCCCAGAAAAATGAAAATTACATTCACATAAATACCTGTGCATGAATGTTTATAGAAGCTTTATTCATGACAGCCAAAACCCAGAAACAACTGAGATGTTGTTCAATGGTAAATGGTTAAACAAACAGTAGTACAACCATGAGGTATTATTCAGCCAGAAAAAGGAATAAACTATTGATACATGCAACAACCTGGATGAATCTCCAAAGAATCATGCTGAGAGAAAATATGCCAATCCCCAAAAGTTACAAGCTGTATGATTCCATTTACACAGCATTCTTGATATGAAAAAGTATAGAAATAAACACATTAGTGGTTGCCAGGTGTTAAGAGGGAGGGAGAAGTGAAGTGGATATCACTATAAAGGCATAACATAAGAGATTCTCGTGGTGATGATGAAAATGTTCTGTATCTTGACTATATCAATAAAAATATCTGGTTGTAATATTGTACTATAGTTTTGCAAGATGTTAATCATTAAGGAAAACTGGGTAGAAGGTACACAGAATCTTCCCATATTATTTCTTGCAACTGCATGTAAATCTAAAATTATCTCAAAATAAACAGATTTATTTTTAAAAAATCTTTTTTTCCCAAAAACACTGGAAAATGTTTAGGTTTCCATTTCATTATCTGTCCCAGAGGACTGGCCTTTGAGTACAGTACATAACATACTGCTTACTACCACAGTGATCAGTTATGCTTAGGAATTTATTTAAGTGTTCCAAATCTCACCTCCTTATAGAAGAGTCATTCGGCTATGTTATGTCAATAGTTAAACACGCACATTTTTGGCAGGGGTAGGGGGAAGACAGAAGTGAATTATCTGTCCAAATTTGGACCTTGCCATTGCCAGTTATTTATTAGCATTCATTTAAAGTAAATTAATATACAAACAGCTAACTAAATTGAGATAAACTAATCTGTATTATTGGCAGAAAAGTAGAAAAAGATTGATTTAATTAACAAAAACATCTATTTCCTCAGAGAAGATTTGGCCATCGTGCTATTTGCTCATCAAGACAAGTTTGGTCAATTAAAACAAAGTAAGCAAATATGAAGGAGTAAGAAGCCTGCTTTCTGGCACTCCAATTAAAGCCACAGAAGTAAGAGACCTCAGAATTTAAAAATCAGAGATAACTCATTATTTTAAATAGTTCTATGAGTTTGAAAATTCAGGTAAAAATAAGTTTACTTTTTATAAAATCAGAAGTTTTAAAATTATATTGGATAAGCAATATGTATTCGATAAAATGTCTAAGCATCATTCATGGTATTTTTTATTTTATCCTCTTTAGAGTTTAATTATAGTTTTTATTTCTGGAACATGAGTATAAAATCTAAACCTAATACATTAATCTCTAATTTTAGCTACTAATTCACCCAAATCTGATGTCTCTTATGCCCCATCTGTTACTACCTCAGAAGCTTTTAGTGCATAAAGTTGCACCCATGTGGCATAGTCATTAAAAACTCTTTGGTATTTTTGCATTCTGTTTTAATGGCAAAACACATTCAAAAAAATCTTTTTATTCAACCAACTGCCTCTTTGA